GTAGGTCATTGCTCTGCATGACTGCTTGGCCACGGGAGTTAATAAAACGAAGTAGTTTTAGTAAAACAACGCAAGTTTTAGATCAGCCAATGACAGAACGGTGGGGAAGCTTACTTTTACGTCGAGTGCAACTTCAGTTTAGGTTAAACTTTGGATGATTTTAGGAGCTAAAACAACGGGCAAAATATGTGAAAAGCACAATACGTCGAAGTAACAGTAATAGAGTTGCGCTCGACCATTAACAGTTAACAGGCTGACCATTAACATTTAACAGGCTAGTAATTAACAGTTAACAGGCTGGCCAGTAACAGTTAACAGGGGCTGACCATTAACAGTTAATATTCTACTCGGAACGGGCGGTTATGGCCTTGTACGACGATGGCGTTTGCTCCGGTGTTGGGACTCTGTCGCGGGAGGCACGGCACACACGTGCGCAGACAACAACCCCCCCGTAGGTCCATTGCGTAATATTTCCATCTACATGTTGAATATAATTTGATTCTAGAGGTTTTTTCACCTTCGTACATGGGGGGCGGGGTCGCTGCTGGAAAGCATACCAATGCCCATACTCGGAGTGGTAAAAGCCACGACAAAGTCAAGTCCGTCTACCTGTGATATATATATATCTGAGCTTCATGTGCAAGTTCAACTTCGTATATATATATATTATACCAGTCGTGGCCGTTTGTTTGTAGCATCGTTGCTACTTGGCCGACCGATTAACCCAATGACGCCGCCTTCAATGGCTACGCCAGCGTTGCTGCTTTTAGCATCGTTAAAGGCATCGCTAATAATACATTTCACAATCCATGAAACCATCATGTACTCTGCACAAACATTCATCCAACGATTCATTATATTTCACATTTTTGTCACAAATATCTTTTCAAGTTGATTTTGCCCAAATTGTAAACACATTGCTATATCGTGCTTTCGAGTGAAATTTCGTGTTGTGGCGTGGTTTCTCGTTGGAATTTAAATCGATTTGATTGGCTACTTCAGATGAGCTCAAAATTATTAACCAATCAAAACTTTCTCAATGAAATTCAACCAATCAGATCGATTGTGGATCGGTTTGGCCCCTCCCCAAATTTGTATCAAATCGACCATACGTACTTGATCACGTCGTTCACTTGCGCTTTGGCAGACATGGATGCCACTTGTCGCTCCAAGTGCTGCAACAGCGCTCCCTGCACAAGATGTTCCCCGCGGCCTATGCGTATAATATGCAGTGCTGGAGGTTGTATAGCGCGTTGAAAACACAAGTACCAGTGCAGCTGAATGCATACGCAGCACTCGTGCTAGAGCCGTTCGATGCGCAGCAGCCCATGCGAGGACAGCCAGCATGGCCTACTCGCCCTGGTCGCTTCAACGCAATGCCCGCACTGGACACGGCCGCGGCTGCATGTCCTGCGCTGTCGATGCAGATGGCTCCGACGGTGTCCAGCAAGTACCTGGTCGCGTTGTCCTGGTGCTTGATCAACGCGCGGGGATGGATGGGCTCGTCGTCGTAATTGATGGTGGAGAGATTGGCATCCTTGGCCTCGGCGAGGGCACCATGGCCAACGAGGAACAGTGGAGGCTGGCGATCCTGTGGTCGCCTTTCTTGGCTGCGAAGTAAGTGCACAGCCAGAGTAATGGGGTTCCGCACTCCTTCAACAGCTCCACAGCAGCCGATGGCATTGGAAGAACCACTCATGACAGACGCGTCCGTCTCGACTCGACCGTCGGTCGTCAAGTTGACTTGGGGACCGTTGCATCCGGCGTTGGTGCACTCCGCATCTTCTAAGACGACCACGGCCTCTTCGCATGCCGAGACGGCGTCACCTCCTGCAGAAAGCACACGCGCAGCAGCTTCCAGGGCTACTCGCATACACGTGTTGGCTTCGTCCACCGCAGCATTCGTCGACTCATGGTTGCCTGCTCCAATATGCACCGCTACAAACCACATGCCAAGGAATTGTGAACGGGTGATGTTGACCAATCAGCAATAATGAGTTCTCCCCTTTTCAACCAATCAATGGTGAATAAATACAAGTGAGGTACTTCGTACGTAATGGTCTTAATGAGTACTAATACGTTGAGTAATGTACTACAGTACGTACTCCAACCAAACAATCAGCAAATTCTTGCTGTGTCCCCTTGAGGATGTCGTCACCGCCCCCTGGGACTTCCACGAAGAGAAGGTTTCATGGTTATACTGGAAATATTTTTTAGTAGTAACTACTCCGAAGTACTACGTAGTACTTCGAAGTAGTCAATAATAATGAATGGCCTTTATCATTATTCACACCACTTTTTGCCTGCACTATGGATATTTTCTCAGATTTTCATATCACCAAATGTAAGGTATACAAATATGATATGTACACCGGCCAAACTGTTCGTGAGTGTGGATTGGTTGATATTCTACACCAATCCAATTTGATTGGCTATTGCAATTGACAATTTCATTCGAATCCAACGTACTTCAAAACTAGCAAATGGACCAATCGCCGTGAACCCAGTCACGTGCCTCCAGCACTTTACCTATATGTCATCATCAACCATTTAGCTCCCACAGCAGTCCACGTACCTCCATGAAACATCTACCCGACTTGGCGTCGACGTCTCTGCTGCCTTGGGGTCTGCTGTCGCTCTACTTTGTGCAGTCGTTCCTCCAAAGCTTCCCCATGACTGCGTACGGCGACTGGCTATTCAACGAGATCCACATGTCGCCAGCGACGACCAACTTCTACTACGCCCTCACGTTCTTTCCGTGGAACCTCAAGCCAGTGTATGCGCTCGTCTCGGACAACTTTCCCATCTTCGGGTACCGCCGCAAGTACTATATCGTGCTCTGCGAGGCAGGCGCGGCGCTGTCGGTGCTGGCCACGGGGCTGTTCGTCCGGTCCGTGGCCGGCGCGTTTGTCGTCAAGATGATCGACTCGTCGTGCGAAGCATTCACGCAGATGATGCTCGGCGTGGTGCTTGTCGACGTTGCGTCCGGCAACCACCAAAAGAGCGGCAACGTCCAAGCCTGGGCTAACGCCGCCAAGAACTCTGCGTCCATCGTGGCTCTCTTCGTGGGCATCCCCATCTACGCGACCAAGTCGATTTCGTCGCGCGAAATCATCTGCTGGACCAGCGTCATTCCCGTCGTGGGCATAGTCACAGCCTTGTTCTTTTTCCACGAGCCCAAGGTCGTCCCCAATAGCATCCACCCCACCGGCCCCACGACATGCGGCGGCCTCGTGCGGCAGAAGTCCCAGGCGTTCGCCGCCGCCTGCAAGCGGATCGTGTCCGAGCAGCGCAGCTACATGCCCGTGATGCTCTTCTTCTTCCTCTCCAGCGCGCTCCCGTCTGGTGGGTCGGTCTGGTACCAGTACACGTACTCGCTGCTCAACGACCAAAAAGAGTGTTTGCAATACTCGTCTCTTGCTGGTACATATACGACGTTCTTGACACAATATATATATATAATAAAAGCCAAACTATTTGTATTTGTAGGCATGGTAGGACGGGTGCTGGCGTGTGGCATCTACGCCCAGATGTGTCAAGGTCGGAGCATCCGCATCGTGTTTGCCATTTCGACGGTGGTGTCGACAGTCGCGAGTCTGCCACAGGTGCTGCTGGCCCCCCCCATGGCGAACTTGCCCATCTCCGTGTGCACGTTCTGCACGCTCGAGTCATTCGTGACGTCGTTCGCGGGCGAATTCGCGCTGCTGCAGCTATTGATTGTGGCCACGTACTTCTGCCCGACCAAAGCCACCGATGGAAAAGGGCTCACATACGCTTTGTACCTGTCCTTCATGGATTTTGGGGGCGTCGTGAGCTCGTTCTTCTCGGCTATCGTCATCAACGCGTTGGGAATCACAGAAGACCCGACCACGTTTGTCGTGAATTGGGCCAATCTGTCGTGGGTTGTGGTCATTGGCGCCGTGTGCAAACTGGCAATTCTCGCATTCCTGTGCTTATTGCCGTCTCGAATTGACGCTGAAGATCACCAGATGCAGCCGCTGCTGTCGAAAGGCGATCAATCCCCGCTCGCCTAACATTGACATATATAGTTAGTGGCTGTAGGTGAATATTCGTGTTCTTGTGATGTACTTCGAAGTACTTGTTCCAATGGTAATATATATTAATATTAGTACTACTGTTCAGTATACAGTACACTTATTGGATTATCATGGCCGAGGAGTTTGTTTACCCAGTTGTAGCAACTGGTCTAGTCGACTTTAAGGGTACTACACTATTTTGGTTGACGAATGCCCGATATAATTAGCCATGTGCTCATTTACAGTTAACGTAACGAGGCAATTTATGGACACCTTTTTTGTCGAAGATAGCTCGAAAATATGTTGCAAATTTTATCAATTTTGATCATTTTATATCCCCATAAAGCTTAGGTTGTGATTGATCGAATGGAACTTGTTTCATCAAGTTTAAGGAGGTATTACAGCAGTTAGGTGGCTTTGAAGTTTTGAATGTTCATTGGATGAGATGCGCCAATTTATGGACAGGGTACATTATACTTAATTTGACGATACTAAAAGTTCGTTCGATTCGAAGTTTTCCAATGGAAACAAATATAAGATGCCACAGTAAATACAAAGGATATATCACTAAATTTAAACGACAACTTACTGTTAACTCACAGTCAATTACAATTCCACCATTTCGACCACGTCGTCCGGAATGAGTCGCAATGTCAACACCCTGACCACCAAGTAGGCTCAGAAATGGTACGGCGTCATCAGGATCATCACCGTCACTACAGCTATCTTGTGTGGATTGCAATGCCGTGGTGGCTCTGGTGGGCCAACGCGGTGGAGGAAGAGGTCTTGGTAGCACCCATCGCCAAGTGCTAACAGTAAAGCCGCCACTTCAGCACTTGCGATTGGTGCAATCAAGACGTCTTGAACCACCGCCCGCAACCACGTGATCACACCGACAGGGATGTACGGTACCGACACGGGCTGGATGGTGGAATGAGGGATGACCAATTTCATTGGGTTAGTAGGCAAGTGGTAAATTGAGACCTGGTTGAATTGACCGAGTCCTGAATACCACATCACATGATCTTGCTCTCATACACAGCCTAACGTTACATAATTATCTATCTAAATGCTCCTTGCATCAACAGCCATCACAGGAGTAGAATGTATCGCAACAAGGCGTGATGAGGCATGGAGCGGTGTATGCGGCTACAGTACTCAACCCGTCAATCCTGGGCTGTCCCGCCCTCCAATAAGTCGATGCGATGATCAACCAAGCGGTTGGTCCGACCTTGGAATCGGAACGTGTGCGCGCCAAGCTGCTGCGGTACCTCCGTCACATATTGGACCAGGGCCAGTGCTCGTATTCGATCATGTCGTCGGGGTCGTACCCACCTGCCTTGCAAATTCCAAAAACAGACAGACACATGAAAAATAAAAATCAAGAATACAAACTTGAAGATATATTTAATTGAAACTATACAAAAAAAAGAAATACAATTTATACTGTTTTAAAATCAAACAATTTCAGAATTATTTATGGAATTCGCAAGGTGGTTCACCTTGCGCAGCATACAAAATTGCCTATTTCACCTTGCTTTTTCTGTTTACAGTTAATGAGCTTCAGATTTTCGCGCCATGGTACTCGCGCCTTCGCTACTGTTCGGATAATTCATTCTCTTTGAATTTATTTCTGTGTGCGATCTTGGGTTACAAAAGTATTTCAGTACTGTATTAGAGTAAGTTGAACATGATTTTGATTGGCTGGTGCGCCCTGTCCATAAATTGGCGCATGTCCATAAATTGACTCGTTACGTTAATTTGGCATGGAAACACCAAGTGGTTGTCAGTCCAAAAGGTAGAGAATTCCCTGGTGAACAACCCATGATTAAGTTCTTATACCCTTGGACACGGCTTGGAGTCCTTGGAAACCGTTATAGACTCGGAACCTCTATAACTTGGAGTGCCAATTTACTGTTGTTAACTGTAAGTCGTACTTACTGTTAAGTACTACGTAGTAAGTAATTCGTAGTAAGAGACCTCAGTGTGCAATTTACATACAGTAACGTAATTGTTAATTCGGCCTCGTAGTAAGAGACCTCAGTATGCAATTTACATATTGTTAATTAGGCCTGCTCTACCACACGACAATGGCGTGCAACCGCACGACGTATGGCAGCTTGCTGCACATATTGGAGACTAACGGCCTTACCGATCATGATACCATGAGCCGACCTCTAAAAAGGCTCATAGGTATTTCTACAGCGCCATGCAGCACACTTACCCCTAAAGGGAGTGTCCGAGGGTTATCTAGAGTTCCTCAGCCATTTTCTTCACTAGGCGGAACACGATGGGGATGTCTTCATAGAGGGAGCGCACGGGCTCCAATGAGGCTTCATCTTCATTGAGGCCAAACCAGTAGACGAGGGCTTGGTATTCGCCGCTTTATTCACGGATATCACCGAGCTTGGCCACGTCATAATTACGCTACCTCTTTCCGCAAAGCAACGCGTCGTCGCAGCGTTCAGAAACGACGTCGACTGGAAATCCGTGGCGTTTACCAACGGGATAAAGTAAAGCACTGCTCGAAATTGGCTCGAAATTGGCTAAAGAGTCACTCACATCCAAACAACGTGGTATGTAGGCATCTTGAACTTTGCCTTTCAGTGCCGCCTCGTCACGTCCTTACCTCCCCCTCCTCTTCCACCACCCGGCCAGACCCCATTGCGCAAAGATGGAGTGGTGTTTTTTCACGGCGCGGCGCGCTTAGACCTAGCCAGTGGAGGATCCGGTGCCTTGGTGATGCAGCGCGATTACCCGCTTCTTTGCGACTACGACGCACATTACATCGCGGGCGCCACCACCAACATTCAAGCAGAGTACGATGGCCTGCTTCGCGGCCTCCAGATGGCACAAACGCGCGGCAACACTCACCTCACGTATTCGGTGACAGCCAACTTTTGATGCGGCAAATTCAAGGAACATATCGGGCAAGCCACCCAGGCCTGCGACGACTGTACCTTCAGGCCCGCGAACTTTCAGCATCGGCCCATTGCACCGGCCACGCGGCACTCTTCCAGATAAGCCCCCGGTCACTGATTATAATAATTTTTTTCAATCCCAAAAATTCATCCGGATAAAACATCCCTGCCTCGACCGCCAAACCACCTTCGACCACACACATAATAATGACAAGCAACCAAATCAAGTATTTATTACGTTACTTCAAGTACTGTTTACGAATGGCAATGACAAGTCCCTTGAACACCATTTTGCCGTCAGCTTTCTGGAGAAAAAACCAGGAACGCCACAAAAATTCGTCTAAGTACCCAGGGAGGTGCTTGCGGTGCACCCCGCGCATCGCCTTGAGGTATTGTTTGATCCTCACCTCCCACACACCTTCGATTGACTGTGTGTGGGCACCGTTGATTGGGTTGACGAAGTTTTCGGAGTGGTTCACCCAAGCGTGGGTGTAATTCATGCCACGCAGCCGGGGGTTGGTCTCCAGGGTGTGGCGTTCATTCGACGACACGTACGAACCAAACTTGTCCGACATGATTTTAGTACCTGGTTTGATATACTTCAAAATCAAGTCGGACAAAGTGGGCTTCGTACGGTCGTCGAATGTCAAAATCCCAAACCACTTCTTCGTCGTGCGGTCGACACCTCCAAACAGCCAACAGTCCGGATGCTGAATGCCGCGGTTGTACTTGGACTTTTTTTTCAACGACGTTTCGTCGATTTCGACGATCGACCCAACGCCACCAATCTGACACAAATAATTATCATTAATATTTGGTTGAATAAATACAATCAACTAGAACGACACTATTACAGTATATATGTATATATGTGTATGGATCAATGTAGTAAAAATTCAGTATGGAATATGACATGACTATTTTTCAAATATGAATATATGAAATGAATACTGTATGTATTCAATATGAATATGTAAATATATAAATTTGAGAGAAATATACATAGTAAACGTAGATATATGTATATACATGGTAAACGTATATATATATATATATATGTGTGTGACATGAATATATATGTGTGTATATCTATGTATATATTATATATATTTATATGTATATTTTTTCTCTCATACATACATATATATGAGAGAAAAATAC